CCTTCCCCCCCAGAGAAAATTCCTACGAATTTTATCTAAAGAAAGAATCAAACCTTTTGGTAGCAGGTGAACGGACATGGTAAACACTGGGAGGCTGGACAACACAGCATTGAGGAGAGTAATCCTTCCACCAAAGGAGAGTAGCCGGCCTTTCCATGAACTCAACTTCTTCTCAAAATTCTCAATCAAGGGCTTCCACATAGAAGTGCTTTTAACATTGCCTCCAATTGGTACCCCCAAATACTTGCAGGGGAATACTCCTTCTTTGCAGCTTAAAATATAGGACATTTTTGACATACATTCCTCTGATACATTCATTCCCAAGAGTTGGCTTTTCTGGATATTAATCTTCAATCCCGATGCCAGCTCGAAAATTCTCATTATGCTCTTTGCTGCCCAAATGTTACCCTCCATGGCCTTACCGAACAGAATTGAATCATCGGCAAACTGAAGATGAGATATTATCATACCCCTATTGCCAATATTGATTCCTTCAAATAGTCCATGATTGATTGCTGAAGAAATGATACCATTTAAACCTTCTGCGACCAGTAAGAATAAGTAGGGTGAGAGTGGATCTCCCTGTCTCAGGCCTCTATTGATTTTCACTTGTCTAGTGGCACTGCCATTGAGAAGAATTGACGTCTCTGCTGTCTTTAAGCATTCACTTATCCACCTTCTCCATTTAGAGTCAAAGCCCATCCTCGACATCATGTAATCCAGGAACTTCCAACACACCTTGTCGTATGCCTTCTCGAAGTCTACTTTCAAAACAAAGCTGGCAATCTTATTTCTCTTCGCTGCATCAATTGTTTCATTGGCAATTACGATGTTGTCTACTATTTGCCTTCCTTTAATAAAAGCCATTTGACATTCACCGATGATATTGTCCAGAACTGAGCTGATTCTGTTCGCAAGGAGCTTCGCAATCACCTTATACATTACACCGATTAAGGATATGGGCCTAAACTCCTCGATCTTCTGGGGATTAGTAACTTTGGGTAGTAGCACAATGAAGGAGCAATTTGATCCTCTAACCAACCTCCCATTTTTGTGAAATTCGTCTACAAAGCCCATCATATCACCTTTGATCACATCCCATATCTGTCTGATGAGGTTGAAATTAAAGCCATCCGGTCCTGGTGCTTTAGATCCTTCACAACTCCACACCGCTCGTTTAACTTCTTCTTCGTTGAAAGGGGCAAGCAACAACGAGTTGTCTTCAGCAGAGATTTTCTTGAATTCGATCCCATCCAGATGAGGGCGTTGCCACCTTTCTTCTGCAAACAGGTTTTCGAAATAGTTGGCTACGCCTTCCTTGATTTCGTTGACCTGTTCCATGTATTTATCACCCACCTGTATGCCAACTATCTCATTATGTCTCCTTCTTCCCTAAACACATCTGTGGAAGAATTTTGTGTTGGCATCCCCATCCTTAATCCATGCCTTCCTAGCTTTTTGACGCCACATGCCCTCTTTTATTCTTTGTTGTTTCCATAACTCTAGGAAGCTATCCCTCCTTGTCTGTATATCATCTTCAGTCAAAGAAGTCACTTCGCCTTTTAAGTCAATAGCAGCAATGGAGTCTTCACATTTTTTGATGATTGAATCTGTCTCCGAAGCCATGTTTCTACTCCATACTTTCAGTGCTTTCTTTGTTTCTTTCAGCTTTTCTTTTAATTTATAACCATGCCAACCTGAGGTTGTTGTCGCACTCCACACCTCCCTCACAAGATCAATACACCCTGGTAAATCTAGCCACACATCAAAGAAACGGAATGGTTTAGGACCCCAATCAATTGAAAGATTTTTCATCAAAATTGGACAATGATCTGATTTCGTTCTTCTCAGCCCCCACTGTTTGATATCTCCCCATTTAAGGCACCAATCCTCTGACAGCAAAAACCTATCCAGCCTGCTCATAACTGCTCCGTTGGGTTGATACCATGTGTACTTACGGCCAATCAGAGGGAGATCAATTAAGCCACATTCCCTGATGAACTCGTCAAATTCTACCATATCCCTTCTATTGGATCTCCCTCCATTCCACTCTTGCACATTTCTAATGGCGTTAAAGTCACCCATCAGACACCAACATCCACCCACTTCTGACATCAACTCTATAATATTGGACCACAAAAGTCTTTTACCAGGCATATCACAAGGAGCATATATATTCAATATACAAACAGGGATTTTTGAGACCCCCCAAAAACCATAAACTCCCACAAAACTCTCACCTTCAATTATACTTTCTTTTTTCAGTAAGTCGCTGTTCCAGATACATATTAACCTTCCAGACGTTCCTCTAGATGCCTTTGCTACCCAATCAAAGTTGTCTGCACCCCATATAGTTCTACACACTTGATAATCAACCATTTCTAGCTTCGACTCTTGAATGGCCAAAAATTCTACTTTCTCTTTCACAACTAGATCTCTGACTCCACTCTTTTTACCCACACCCCCCAATCCTCTAATGTTTATTGATAGGAAAATCATAATAAATTCATACCACCATTCCCCTCGTTAATAGTATTACTGACCTTTGTTGATTTAATCAGCCTCCTATCACGATCTTCCATTTCCTTTAATCTCTGGATCACCTCTGTTTCGTTGTCCCGGACTCCCACGCCAATTTCCTTTGCAAACGCCCAGATCCTTTCTGCAGTACAAAGCTCTAGATCTCTGCGTAGACTCCCGTTCCTGATTTCAATACCGCTGTCAATGATTGAATCACCTGCCACCTGATTTTGGGATCCGGGAGAAAATATAGGCATCTTCTCCTTCGATCCTTGCTCCTTTGATGCTCTCTTCCTCTTATCCGGCTTAATCTCTTGTTTCTCCTTTCCCTCTTCCTTGTAAACTGAGATACACGATCTGATTTTCTTCTTTTTGCTTCGCTTCGGTTTCCTTTGCCTTCTGCCCATCCATTCTTGCTCGTTCCCCGATTCACTCTCGAACCCCTTCCAAAAAGTGGACTCTTGTTCATCGTCGTGGAGGTTGGTTGAAGCTGCTCTGTCTCTTTCTGCTTCTCGAATATTCCGAAAGGAAGACCCTTTAATTGCATTTTCGTTCCCTAGTTGGGCTGACCCATTAGACATTGCATTCTCGTTCCTTATCTCCCTACTTGAAGTTCTGTCTCCCATTCCATTTGTGGCTTGTTTAGTAGGCCTCGAAGCAATGTTGGCCCAAGACTCATCAACCTCCGCTGGGCTTGTCAATTTTAAAGGCCTAGTGGTTTCATTCTTTCTGTGGCTTTCCATTTTTTGAAATCTCTGAGTGTTTAAACTACCCGGCACCAACTCCACATCATATGTTGATCCTTCATGATTGTTGTTGCAGAAGTCTTGGATTTTGTCATCCCTATTTGCTTGTAGATTGCCTCGGGAATCATCTGCATTAGCTGGGCTGTCATTCACCGTTGGAAAATGGTCTCCTTTTGAATTTTGGCGCTCATGTTTCCAACGGTAGGATGAGTGTTCCTCCCTGGTTTTCGCAACTTGCGACGCCTCCTCTCTTGCTTCCACATCCTCTGCATCGTCTTTACTCTTATTGATTTTGTTCCGGCTACTTTCTGCATCTCCACCATCGAGATATGCCTCACCCACTTCATCTTCCGATTCTTTGTCAAGAGACCAAGATTCTGAGCTAGCATCGTCAGATCCGCTCATATCCTTGAGAACATGGTCGGATTTCATGGAAAAGATTCCATTGGTGGCCTCTTCTTCCATTACTTTGATTGTGTATGGCTCACCGTTCACCCCGATACTTATGCTTTTGGAGATGAAGTCCATCACCGGGGTAGAGATCAACATCCTCCCTATGTCAAATCTCAATTTTCTGCTAGTGCTGTCATCTAGCGTCAAAAACTTTCCCCACACAGAGCCGATTGTAGCAAACACTTTCGGACCCCAAGCATGGACTGGAACTCCTTGACATCGTAGCCAAACGAACCTTTCCTGTGCAACCATTGCTGAGTTCCATGGTTTGATCTCTATAAACCACTGTCCCAACCATTCTGGGGCTATCTCCACAAGATCTTTGATTTCCTCCTTATCTCCTCCTTCCAATAGGACCAGGCGCCCCCCCATTGCTCTTACTTTGCATGAGAAGTAACCCTCCATGAAGAATTTTTCTTGCAGGGTCGGAATTATCTCAATTGAGTGAGCCATCCCGACGTAACATCCTTGCAGCCATGAGTATTCTTCTGCCTTCACTGTGAACTCAATGCCAGCTCTTGTCTACACCTTATCCTTTGCTCTCCACGCCTGTGCCGGAATATTATTTGTTTTAGTGATCCGCATATGCCTATACTCCTTCTCCCCCTTTGCTTGCTTCCCTTTCTCTGTTTCTGATCGGATTTCAAGGTTTCCTTTCACCGCTTCTGCATAAGTTCTTTGCACTCCAGCTTTTCCTAACTCCACATGCCCTGCATTTGCTCTCTTGTGGCTTTCATTTTCTGTAAACCTTGGTCTGTTGACCCAGATTTTGTACTCCCCCACTCGGATTTGATCCAGTTGCAGCTCCAATTCCCATTCATTTCTTACATCTAAGTATCTGACGAACCCGAATCTGCTCCCCATTGTTGATTTCCTCATAGGGCTGTATATGTCCAGAACTCTTCCATATTTATGAAAAGTTCGCCACATGCTTTCATGACTCCAATCCTCAGGGAAGTTAGTAAAGAAAAACACAGTGGCCTGGTTGTACACCTGTCGATCGTATCCCCAAATGTCTGGTTTCCTAGATCTGTTTCCCCGTGCAACATTCCCCTCATATGCTGATCGATTCTTTCCTCTGTGTTCGAATCTCTCCCAGTGCTGTGTCGTCCCCTTGCCGCGCGTTCCACCTCCGTCAAAGCTCGCTCGCACTTTCCCTCTCATCGCACTTTTTTTTTTTAATTTTGAATTTTATAAATGAAAAAATAAGTATTGAAAGAATTTTCTTTTTATAAGGTTTAATATGATTCAATTTCAAATTAATTGAGATTCAATGTGATTATCCAATACCGTGAGATTAATATAAAAAAAAAAATTCTTGTTTTACCGTCGGAACTGCAAAACAAAATTATCTAGAATTGTTCTAGGCCCACGAATCTTCTTGATTGAGCTTAAATTCGATTCGCGGACCAAATACTATTTGGGCTATGGACTACAAAATCTTCTGGAAGCCCACTTCGGCCAGAATCAAATAGCAGCCCATATTCTCTTTTTTTTTTACTTAAGATTTAAATAAATTATTTAAGCTCTTAAATAGTGTATATGTGATAGATTAAATTTGGAGTTAAAATTATAATGAGGTGAGGAACTCAGGGACTAAACCTTATAATTAAAGCTCAAGGACTAACTGGCAATATTTCCTTGTTGTAAAAAAGCCCCAAATCAAATGGGTCGGCAGTCGGCAGTTTCATTTTTGCTTTCTTTCTTTTCGGGAAACAAGATCGACTTCCTTCTCTGCCCAGCGACGGGTGCTTTAAGGATCTGCCATATTAGACTAATCCAAGTAAATTGTCTTCTTATGTTTGGAATATTTAGGAATTTGGAAACGAAGGGAATGGTTATATGCATGGATTTTAAAATTATTTCAGTAGGTGTCAAATAAGTACAAATAAACTTTTTGAATTATGTTTATTTTGATATTTATTTAGATTTCAAGTAGTTGTATGAAATTGCATTTTAAGAGATACTTATTGAGGTAAGTAGTTATACCCTTCAGTATTTTTAAAATAAATCGATATATTTAAATGAGTTTTGTCCATATTTAATTTATTTATCTATTTGATTATTTATTTATCTATTTCTTAGAGAATGATTTTTATTAAATACTTTTAATGATGGAATGAGATGATTTGTGGATCAAGTATAATATTTTTATTTAAATTTGAGATGAGATTGTGATCATGTGGAGGTGACTAATTTAAATATATTTTCTCTAATATTATTGAAATTGTTATTTTTGGAACGGTTTCTTTTATTTGTCCTGGCTGAATGATTCATTCTTGTGAGAGTTGAGTTGTTGACTTGTTGGTATTGTGATAGATCTGTGATCTATGAATTGTGGATTGTGGATTGTGGATTGTGGATCGTGTATTGTGGATTGAAGATTGATTATCATTAATCGTGAATTGCGGATTGTTGCACAGCCATAAGGGACGAATAATGAAAGATTCTGGTTTCGAGGAAAGAATCATATTTTTTTTTATTGTTTCATTCTTAATAAAAGTTCAATTTTAAATTTTTATGCTTGGTTGTGATGGATGGGTATACTACTTACGGAGTTCTTAAACTCATGTTTTCAAATTTCATCTCATTTTAGGCGAGGAGGTATGGGCATTGGGATTTGCATGGGGATTGAGAGATCAATAGAATAAATTGGCAGAAATTTAGTAATAGCTCAATTGGAAGCTTATTTGGTTTTATAAAATAAGATGTTAATCACTTTATATTGTGGTTAAGAGATTTGATTTTGTTATTTAGAGACTATTAAGAGTTGTTAACGGAATTATTTATCTTAAAGTTGCAAGGTTACATTAGAACTTTACGAGAGATTGTATTGACATAAAGGAAGATGGCCTTACACGTTTATGGGGTTAACCTATAAATGTGTGACATTTGTTATGCGCAAACCTATAGGTTGGGGCGTGACAATGCTACCCTTAAAAAAAAAA